AAAAGCATTCGTGGAAAGAACAAAGAGAGATCTTGTAAGAATCACGGAGCAGGTAAAGGGCAGACAGATGTCTTATGAGCAGGGAGGAGGAAGGTGGATTTCAGTGTTGGGTGAGCTGAGAAGGATGTGCAGTTCAGAAGAGAAGCTGTGATTTGGGGGATTGTAGGTGGATTTTAGAAGTTTAGGAAGACTTGATCCTTCTCTAAAAATTCCTCAAAGTGATGGAGAAACCGAGATGGAGGTACGCATGGGAGTTTTAGTATTTTTCCCATCTATATATTTCTCATAAAAAACAGCAATAGTTTCAGAATCCCGCTGCAGAAGTGCTATGTACAAGGAGACGGGTATGTCTGTTTTTCCCAGAGATAGAATCAGCTCTCCAGCCTAGGTGACTGGCAGGGCTGCAGGAGACATCCCAAAACCTCAATGGAGAAGTAGTACTTGGCTTCTGCTCGGACTCTGGAGAATAAAAGCACATTTTGGGCTCAGTGGACTGCAGAGCTCTGTAATTTTCTGGTGCAAGTCCAAGTTTGGTGAGCTCAGTCAGATTTGCAAAAGTTGTATTTCAGATCTTTATTCTTTGTTTTATTCAAACAGACTTTCAGTCAAAAGATCCTTAGTCTCATCGCATAGTTACTTCTCATTTATGTTTCAGTTTCTTTAGCAATGCCATAAAATAACTAAAATCGTGATTTGTGTCTGTCAGTGGTCAGTTAAAACTTTTGAAATGATCAAAATTTCTCTTTGCTTGGATTTCTTTGATTGCAGTGGATTGCAACAGCTTTACCATCCCTGTTTCTCGTAGGAATTGTGAATTGCAGTACAAAGGCTGTGTGAGAACATCTCTGACAGTTACTTCTATTTCATATTTTTTTTGTATGATTTATAAATTACTTGTAGTCAAAGCTAGGCCTTTGCTTTTCTTAAGGATTAAACCCATTTTTTTCTTTAACTGACAGACTTGTTCACCTTTATTTTCTGTACATGTTTCCTGAAGGCAGAGCAATGAAATGTACTCAAAAAAGAGAAGTTCAGTCCTCCAAAGTTATAAATGCCAATTGTAATCCACAAAGGTGATTTAGAAAAGAAAATAAAACTTGCTATTCCATCAATCATTTTCCATTTTTATCTTTTCTTTGAAATTTATTTGCATTTCAAGACGTTGCAAGATGCACCTTTTCAAACGTGAAATATTCCTAACAAAATTACTCCTTATAGTCCTCTAACTGTGCTTTCTGATTATCAGAAACTAGAGACATTGGCTAAATGTGTCAAATATGGCTTATTAATTTCAGGCATCTATTCATGTTTATGAGCCTGAAATCAATACAAGTAGCACAATTTACACAGATACTGAGTAAGGCCTAGAATTTTAACTTGCTTATATAAGCCACAGGATAAAGATTTTTGGACAAAATAAAAATTTCATAAGCACTTTAAAGCTTTAGACCCCTAAGCCGTTAAGGCGGTTTCAAAAATTGTTTTAAAATTTCAGAGTCATTTGCCAAAAATGAATTTTTTAAGGCCTCATTTAGATACCTACACATAAGATACTCCACTCTAAAAAATATTGATCACCCAGAAGATCCATTGAGATGAATGAAACCAGGAGAACTGAGCACATCTGACGAGTGTGCTGCTTTAAATGCATGAAAATGTCTTCAGGAGTCTGACTTTCAGGACCCAGGTGTTGAAAACTGTAGTAATCATCTTTACAACCATTTTCTATTCTTTGTGTAGTTCCAGAACCACTTGAATCATTCACAGTTGGGATATCTCCAAACCACCGGACGCTGTAATGCTCTTAGCATGGTAGGGTGGGCTGGTCAGTGGGATGCGCGGGGGACTCCGGAGAAGGAGGATGTGTGTGTCCCCCTCTCTCCCCCTTATCCCACTTACCTCCCCAGCCAGTGGGATCTTTAAAGGAACTCCAAAAGAAGACAAAGTGTTGATCTCAGCGTAGCACTGAAAGTGCTTTTCTTCCTTCAGCTTCCTTTCAGCAGCAGAGACTGAGCAGAGAGAGACGAAAGACTCACGTCATACAAATAATCCTTCGCAATAATTTTGGCATTGTTCAGTAGCAGACATTGAGAATTTCAGTACCTCCACGGTATCGATATATCCCCCATCACTACTGAGTATTATACACATCCCTCCAGTTGTAGTAACAGTGTTATATCCATCTGTTCAGCGTCAGAGCTGACAGTAGTTTAACAGCGTTGCTTGGTTTTTACAATCAGATTAAGATGGTTTTGGCAGCCAAACGTACTTTGATTCCAAATTGACACAACTTCTAATGAGAGCTCATCCATGTTTAAATTTTCTAGCTTCTAGCATGGCCAGTGGATGCTCCAGAGAGTGTGACTATGGTCACCATTGCTCCAGATTTTCATGGTGTTCATAGTGGCTGCATCACCAACCTGAAGAAATACACTACTTACTATACATCGGTTCTGTGTTTCACCACCCCTGGCGATGGACCGCGAAGCACACCCCAGCTCCTGCGCACCCTTGAAGACAGTGAGTAGTCAGCACTGGGAGAGAATCTCAGTGCTCAGGTTTGGTTTGGGTGGGTGCTCAATTTTGGACCTCAGGTTCACAACCAGTTTGCAATCTCTTGTGAAGTTGCTTTGCATCAGAGAGTGACCTCAGCCAGTTGTCTGTGTGTGTTCTTTTAGCAAATGAATGACCTTTGATATTTTTTTTCATTATGGACTAAACCTGGACAAGGTTTTTTACATTGGTCAGAAGCTGAAGGCTTCATAGTCTGGTTCAGCCAACACGCAACACGTTGTTTATGTCCGTGAACCTTTATGCTCTTAAATCTATGTTCAGGCATCTGAATAAATATGAATTGATCTTCTTAGGAACTGAGCACTGGAACTTCCTGTGGTGGTCAATGATTAATTTGTTATTGTTTCCGTCTGTTATTCAATATATTGAAAATGTCTGTATCTATATTATATTGCAAGTGTTTGTATCAAAGAACCAGGATTATAACACTGCGGTGACTTTTATTCTGCAAAACTGTAGTGAGGATGAAATAAAATGAGCTGGATAGTTTAGCATATAAATTATTTCCTGCATCAGAAAATGTTTTGGCCTCTGTGGCCCCTTGGAAGTGTTTGCTCAAGACGTATTTGGGAATAACAAGTCTAGTGTGTGTCTGATGCAGATAACAACTAAATCGCAGTGGCCCTTGTAACTAACTGTGTGTCCACGGTGATCTTGGCTCTGGCCAGTGCTTCAGCATCTTTCTGTCATGGAGCATCATAAACACTGTTGCATGATTGCAGATCCAATTTAGAATAAAAAAAGGTCTAATACATCCATTAAGGTATTGTTTTTAGAAATACTACTCTGCCTTAATACGTATCTTTTAGGTTGGTCAGTGTTCCCGTAAAGAAAAATCTGGTTGTCATTAACATTCACAGAAGTGAGGCTCAAAGTGCTAATCCAATTTTTCATGAGATACTCTTGAAAGAACATGAAGAAAATTAAATACTTTCCCGTGGATTTTTCTTTTGTGGTTAGTCTCCTTAATATGCTAGACCTGTTCCCCAAAAGCAGCTTGTAGACTCAAACTTTTGCTTGTCAGAAGATCAGAGAGACAGCAATTTAACTACCAGAAATCTATGTGAAGCATTAATATGAGCTCATACATGTTTATTTGGGGTTAAAGCAAAAAGGGCATGGAGGAAAGAGAAAGAGGCGTTGGGTTCTTGTGTGTAGTATTAACTTTTTTGCCTGTTTTCCTAAGGAAATGAAATCTTGACAACGATGATTTGTAAATGTATTCGACTGTCTGTCTTAGGTCCATCTCCCTTTCTCTCTCCAATGACATTTGAACCCTGTGGCTAATTTCAGTAAGTACAGAAGAGTAAGAAACCAAAGATACAAGACTCCAAAAATTTACACAAAAATTAATCAGCTGGGAAGAGGAAAGAGAACGTTAATGTTTCTGCTGAAGGGAAGGATGCAGAAATGAGCCTTAAAGATGTTGTGTGAAGTGGGAGAAAAGGCACAGTCAAGGCATTGGGAGTGTCTCAGGGAAACATCGGGATCACATGCCATCTTAAACACAAGAAAATTCCATCATGAAGCATAAAACGAGAGAAAGCCAGACTTGTATTTTGTAAAACATTTAAAACATTTATTGCTGTATGCAACTGTGTGCTACAAGGAGCTTCAGCAGTAGAGATGAGCAGGATATTTTTTTTTGGTTTTGATCCTTCAGAATTGCTTTCCTTGGTTTTCATGGCGACTGAGAAGTTAAGTGCAGAATGGCATAACACATCTTTGTGGAGAACTCGTTGAATCTCAGTTGCTTCAGGATTTATGTGGTGGGAAAAAAGATTTGAAAGGACTGTCATTCGTGTTCTCAGGTGATAATTTTCTGTCTGTATAGCAAAGTTAGGCAATCCTTTAGAAAAAAGTGGTGCAAACGGATCTGTTTACTGATGAACTATAGGTCAAATAAAATCTGACATCCAGTCAGAAGCAATGTGTCCTGGCTTGGAGTAACCTGCACCTGTTTTTCATTATGACATTAAAATTGGACTGCAACTGCAGGCGCTAATTGGAGTAAAGCTCTGCGAGTGTGTAGTTTGCATGTCTGCAGATACATGGTCCTGAATAGTGCATAATTGCTGTGCTCTTGTAGGGTATTCCTGAGATCGCTACCAGATCAGCAGTTCTTTCTGTAATGCTTTGACTACTAGATATCACAGAATGGATTTGGAAATTTTCCTCACTAGGACTGCAGAATTGCAAATTGGTAGCCAGCCTACTGGAAAGCTTTTTTTTTTTTTTTATCATAGCCGGAGGGGAATGAGAAACTGGACTAAAGTGAAGAGGAAACAAAATATGAAATTGCAGACGAGAAATTGCCAACTGATGTCAGCGGAGCTGGAGGATACTCGGGCAGGGATCCAATGACAGAAGCACAGTGAATATAAAGTGAACAAAAACTCCTTTTTCCAGTACATCGATTGAAGGCAGAACAGCAGTTGGATCAAAAAATCAGTCAGGATGTCTTCCTTGAAGATCAAAATTGAGGGAGGATGGCATATTCTTGACAGTCATTCCATTTTATGCTCTTTCATTGCGCACTAGGGAGCTGAAATTTTTAAGAGCTCTTGAGCTACATCATAAAAATCCTTTAAAAGTTTCACACACTTGTATTCATTTTACGGAAGACAGTTGCTATTATGTTGGACGTTTTTGGAGTTGTTCTGAGAGATTCTATCCAAGCAGTGACTCGGTGACTCTGTCCTTGCTTTGACCTTGCATAGGCAAAAGGCTCTTTCCAGGTGAGGGGGGCTGCTGGTGGTGTTGCAGATAAGCCCCACGCAGCAGCACAGGTAAACGCCGCACACCCTCGTCCAGGGAAAACAGCAAACACAATCGCTTCCAGGATTGCCAGCTTGATTGTCCTAATGAGGTTAGATCAAGAACAGAGGCAGAGAACAAGTTGCGTGCGAGTCTCCTGCTGCTGCTCTCTATAGTTCTCCCTGCAGTTAGGATGATGACTGGATAAAATAATTTATGTGATAATAGCCGGAGTGCTTCTTAACACCTCGTGGTCTCCCCTCTCCCCTGCAGCTCTCACTGATGTTTCCAGCAGGCTTCCCTTGGCCCCGGCTCCGTGTTTTATTTCTTCAGCCCTAACCTTGCCACATGAATCAGATCAAAAGTACGTGGGGTTCTCGTGTTAACAGATTTCCTTTTCTGATTGCCAGAGCCAGGAGCGGTGGGACACCTGAGTTTCACTGAGATTCTGGACACATCTCTCAAGGTCAGCTGGCAAGAACCTGCAGAGAAAAATGGCATCATTACAGGCAAGTATCAGCTACTATCTCTTTTTTTTTTTTTAACTTTGAGTGTGTATATCATTGCAGTGAAAAAATGTTTGTGTAATAGAGCATTTAGGGAGAACTGGCTACTGCGAGCGCTGATTTCCTGGTCCCTCTTTTGGGTAATTGCAATGTCAGCTAGGGCACGTTATAGAAAGTACAGGTCCAATTACTGGCAGCTCATGATTGTGGTCACTGAAAAGGCAGTCTGTATTAGAAATCAGCTCCCTGTGGAGTTTCTGGTCTTGTTAAATCTTCCGTGACCTCCACCTGTGTTACTAGATTTCTGAAACTTTGTGAGACAGTGTTTGGCCTTTGCTCCAAAGGTGGGGGGTTCCTACATGGAGTTTACAGCTGCAAAATCTGAATTGGCGTTGCTGAGATTTGCAATCAAGCCCAAGCCTGAAATCAGCGCTATCCTTCATCTGCGATCGAGTGGTCTGGCTGCGGACTTGGTGACAGAATTTGCATGTCATTACTTAATTTTGTATAAACCATCACAAGGGTTCAGAACTCTCTTTTCTCTCTTTGATGAGCTTGCCATCTGACAAGCTATTTATCTATTTACTGTATGCCAGTGTAGATACAACATCAGCAACTTCATTATTTTTCATAAAGGAAGCTATATATAATTGAGAAAACCTCTGGTTTTTATCAGCAGAGGCAATATTGTTTTCAGATGGGAAACTATTGCAGCTGCACAGGATGGACATTCCATTTAACAAAGGCTTTCAAGGTTTTGAAGTGCAACAAAGCTCCCAAATTTTAAATTACTGGACCTGAAAATCATAGTTGGGAAGGGAGAAGATCATTTCGAATGGAGCAAAGTATTTTGGTTTGGGAGCATTGACACTGAAATGTTTAATTTTTATTTTAAAAAATTATATTATAATTTGTAAACATGAGATATATTTTATCAATTTAAAAAAAATAATCAAACTTTCTGGCCCCTCAACGTTGAAATGGTGTATCAGTCTAATTTCCTGAAACATTTTAACTTTGACAAGTCTAATTATTTTGATACGACTTGCACTTGTCAGTGTTGTCTCTGTATATCAGTAATGTGCACCATTGTACATGTGTCTTCCATGCTGTTTATAGTGTGTTTGGCATCCTTATGCAGATCATCTTGTGCCTTTATACCGTAATAATCTTCCTGAAATATGCATTGATTTATGTGGTTTGAGAGCAGAAACTAATGACTTCTGAAAGCAGAGCAGTATTGATTCAGTGAAGATGGCCAAAGCCTTCAAGCCTGAGTGCTTAGATTTGGGTACCTAAATCCAAGTCTAGCCATTGAAGTAAGATGATGTAATAGTCATCCTTGTTAAGCACGAGTTAGAAGCACTATGCTTAGTGTTGCAGAATTGCTTTGCTAGAAACAAGCTGCTGCCTCCCAGAACGAGTTGAAACTCAGTGGAGCACGATGATGGACCGTGTTATATTCGGGGCAAGTTGTTTCAGAAAGAATTAACTCAAGAAGCTCTATTGTTCATGAAGAAACACCAGTGTAAAAACACCCAGCAAAGTTTATAAGGAAAAAGAAACGTCCTTAGTGATGCAAATTGCGTTTGGGATAGAAGAAAAGAGGAAAATTGTTCATGCCCTGAGTACCTCAAAGGTTTATAGAGGGCTACTTGCTTATCTGAGTGCTTAAGGAGGCAATTATTCATCATTTCTGCTCATTGATATCTTTACTGGACCTTCTTGTTCCATTCACCAGAGCTGGAAGGAGGAAAGTGCGGAGGGTGGTGCCCGGCAGCCAGCCTGCTCGGGGAAATTGCCCATTACTCTTGCTGTAAATCTCAGTATCTTCCTCGTTCTCGCAGTAAACGTTGATTTATGAGGACCTGGATGGAGACGGACAGTTTGTGATTGGGTGTACTGCTCTCTTGTAGAGAATTTACTCCAGATCAACAGAAAATTATTTCTGAAACTCCTCTGGTCATTAGTTTCCGTTAGGCAGCATTTTGTGGAGAGGGTGTAGTGCCAAAGCATACGGGAAGGCTCTGTGGCACCTTTCCTGTTCTCACACTGAAGCCAGAGGAAACACTGAGCCCGGGCCGGCCGGGCTCCCCCGTGCACAGTTCTGGCAGCGAGCGCCTCTGTAAAACAGAGAGCGCGCTTTTACCAACCACATGTCCTGAAGTTCTGCCCATCTGTCAGTCATTGTGGCTTAAGTGCTCCCTGGGGGAACGGTGGATGTTGTTCCTTTCCTTCAGCTTTTTTTCATCTATTTTTGTTAGGCTTGATTACATTTGGCTTTGTGTCTGCTCAGTATGTATGTATTTTCTGTTTGTATTTTTTTATACGACTAGAATTTATCTATACTTTCAGGCAGTAAATGCTGCCTCTTTGCCTTTTCTTCAATTTGCATGTGAACTCAGAATATTTTTCCCGGTGAACGTTTTTTCAGTAAATAAATACATAGAGACTATGTGCCTAATGGGTGGGAAAGCTGGGTCTCATCTCTATCATCGCAAGGGAGAAAACACAAAATGTTCAAAGAATAATCACCAACATTTGATGTACATCCAAAGCTTATCTAGACGGGAGAGAAGATATCTCCATCAGTTAAGATTGCCTAGTGTGTGGTGGATAGAACTTTCTGTTGTTTGTAAGCAACACATGGATGGGGAGACCATTAAATTTCCCCTGCTTATCCTCTGGTTATTTATTGCTTTGAGCAATTTGTTTTATTCTGAGGTGATACTCCTAGAATTCCCTCTGCCAGGCCCTGTAGAGGGTTCAGAGCAGGCATAGCAGGGTCGCCCGCAGCTCCCGGGCAGACAGATGAGCCGTGGCACGGCCCTTGCCCAGCCTCTGCTCCATCCATGGCTGCACAGGACATTCTGCTGGCTGCGGACGTGGCTGCTGGTTTTGTGTCCTCTGGGGGGAAGCAGGGAGAGGCACAATTGCACCTTTCTCAGAGTCGTTCTTATTCTTCCACATTGCCCTGTCTGGAGCAAACAGAGCATCCACAGCTTTGGGAAGAGAGGGGTGTTTGGGGTGCTTGTGATGGTCGCTCTGTGAGCAACTCCTTCGTGCCTCTTCACTGAGCATCAAATGGAGCAGACAGTCGTCCCTCGTCTCTCTGTTTGCCCTCTGTTAATAAAGGCACTCGAGTCCTTAAGCTTTGTCAAACCTTCACACAGGTTATAATCTTTCCTCTGCCACATAAACTCTGATCACTGTGAAATGATTCTCAAGCCTTTTCAGAGGACATCAAAACACCACAGTGTCTCTGAGATACTGGTAAATTAATGACTTAATTCCCATTCAGACACTTAGTTAAAACTGGCTCCAGATGAACGTTCAGGAGTTTTTCCCCTTCCCCTGAGTAGTGCATAGTCAGAGAAGCAGTTCCAGCTACGCCTCAATTGTTGAAGTACCACCTCTCTTTTATCACCGATCCCTCACCTGAAACATAATTAGTGACTATGTCAGTACTCCGAGCCCATTTCCATGCAAAAATAGGTTAACAGGAATCCCTGTCAGTGACAGCAGCTAGCACCAGAGGAAGAACATCTCGCACCTCTCAAACTCTCACAGAAATATTTGTCTCACCACGCTTTTAGTTCATGAGATGATGTTCCCCTTTTGATCAATACCACAAGGTATTTTGTTACGTCAATTTGTATATTTTAATCAGCTTATTATGTTTGTTTAAAAAAAAAAAAAAGAAAAGGGGGAGGGGGGAAGCCCTCAAGCCCCCCAACTGGTCTGAATTCCTCATCATAGATGACGGGAACAGGAGCCCAGTAGGCAGTTTCTCTAGCCAGCTTGCCTTGTGCAAGGTTCACTCGGTGGGGTTCCTTTCTGTTAGTCTTTTTCACTCACTTCCTTTTCACAGGCATTCAATGTGTATTATTTTTTTTCCCCCTGAGTCAAATCACAAAGAAAGCTGCAATCAAGCAAACTTTTCAGACACGCTTTCTGGAGGCTGGCACAGTAAGGTTCAAATGGGTTCAAACGAGAATAAAGTGGGACTGGGCAGGAGGAGGACGAGCAGATTTGGAGGTAAAATTGAGCAAATCAGACAGTAGAAAGTTTCAAAAGTTCTTGGAAGGCAAATGGTTATAAAAGTGATAAAAAGGAAAGCCTGGTTATGATAGAAGAATAATGCAGAGGTCAGGGTGAGTGCACTTTTGGACAATACGTTGGCTACACTATGGTTTTGAAAGAAAGGATAATGATTCACCCTGCTAAAGGATTTGTGTGAGGAACAAGCAGTGGGGAGTAGAGGTTTTTCAGTTCCTAGAAGATTCCCACAATGTTCCTGCCTGATTGTTATTATTGGATTTGTGAGTGTTTCTAGGTATACAGCAGTGAGGGTTACTTCAGCCTGGAAAGGGAGTAGGCCTACTAAGCCCATATAGATTTCTAATTAGATATTCTAGCTGGTGAGAAGATGTTCTGTTTTCCAGTGTGTCTTCCTATTCTTTTTGTAGAGTTCACAAAATGAAAGTCCACCCTTCTGTGAGATTATCCCCAGGTTTCCCAGCCACTCCATAGCAAGCACCGTGTAGTCAGAGAAAAAGAGACGGACTGTTGAGATCCTGTGTCCTCCCCCATCTGTAATCTGATGGGCAGATGATACCCCATGGGGTACCTACAGCAATTGCTTATTGGAAATAAGAATATTAGAAAAACACTTGGGTATTTTAGCCAGTGTTTGCTTCAACTTTTTTTTTTTTAACTTACAAAAAGTAACCGTAACGGATTAGAGTAAGAAACAAGTCATACCATCATTGACCACAGCAAATCTTGCAGAAGTAGGAATTTACCAGTTATTGTATAACTGTGCTTTAGAAGAAAAACCTTGCCACTGCTACAGCCCCCTGACTTCTGAGTAACTGTTTTTCAGGGTACCAGATCTCCTGGGAGGTGTATGGCAGGAATGAATCTCGTCTTGCCCGCACGCT